TTTAAATGGTACTTTGTAGTAAAGGCATACCTCACTGATACTACAGGTTTGGTTCCAGACCACAGACAGCAATACAGTGAATATCGCAATAAAGCAAGTCAAATGACTTTTTTGGTTTCCCAGTGCACATAAAAGTTATATTTACACTGCTTTGCAGTCTGTTAAAGTCTGTAAGAGCTTTATATTTAAAAAAGAATGTGTATACCTTAGTCTAAAAATACTTCATCTGTGTTTTCAGCGAGTCGGAAATCACAGATCACGCTAACAATAATGAAAAAATATGAAATACCAAGAGAATTACCAAAATGTGACACACACACACACATAATGAGCAGATGCTGTTAGAAAAATGGTGCTGACAGGCTTGCTTGAATTAGGGTTGGCACAAACCTTCAGTTGGTAAAAAACGCAAAGTGCAATAAAGGAAAGCACCATAAAAGTAGGTGTGCCTGGACTTTGTAGCTGTGAAAACACTTTCGTGAGTAAAATCTCGTCTAGCCGCTCACCAGCCCCGTGACAGGATGGTATCACCTCCAGATGAGGCCAACGCAGTAAGAGGAGGGTGATCGGGGGGTCTATTTGCAGTCAAACTGACGTGCTTCAGATCCCTGCTCTCCCCATGGAAAGTCTGTGTGACCCTGGGTTGCTGTCTACCACTTTGAGCCTCAGTTTCCTCATGAGTGGGAAGGACATCATCTGTGTGTGTGCTGTGAAAACAGGAGAACACACAAAATGCAGCCTGTAGTTCCTGCATAGAACAAACACCCAATACATGTTCCTCCTTTCCTGTTTCAGAAAAACTAGAGATTTTATGAGACAGCATTACGTAAGTAGAACGTTAGTATTCAGTCTGAAACCCAGGATGGTAATCACAAATTCTAGCTTATAAATGAGAGCATTGGCAAAACGCATTCAGGCCACTCAACCATGAGCTACAGATGGCAACAGAGAAAGCTAGGAACCAATGGACGGATACAAGTGTAGCTGAGCATCTGTACTTTAAGTCAGCCTTTTGAAATCCCTTCAGTCATTCCAGGCTCCATCAGATAAGAACGGAGTACATGGAAAACTGCCAAGTATACCACAGACATCGGTGGGAAAAAATCCATTTCTGTCACACAAACACGAGGACTAGGATAGCCTAGGAAGAACACCATTGGGGAACACGGATGAGTACGGCACAGTTTACAACCACAAATGTGACCCTGTGCTACTGCTGACGGGCTACAGGCCAACCAAACTGCTAGAGCTACAAGGAAAATCATATGGAATCACCATCTTTTAATAAGGATACATGGCAAATGCAAATACTGTGAGAAAGCACACAGGAATGAGAGTGTATATGACATCTCCTTGAATGGAAAAGCTGAAAAGTCTGGGGTCTTCGATCAGTGTGTACGGATGGCTGTGCCAAACTTGGAAGACAGTAAGAGGTTCCATTATGAACTGACCGTATCCACGATGAGTGGAGACTCATAGGACCAAAATGCCTTGTTCCAAGTGAACACTCAAATGCTGTTCCCCACTTACAGTGGACAGTGTGCTAAACACCAGCTTATTCCTGAGGCGACGGAGTTTACGTGAGAGTTGAGAAAGAAAAAAACAAACAAAAAACAACACATTCAAAGCTGGGTTTTTCTGTCGAGTTCTACAAGAAAAGCAAGTGCTGAGAGGGTGCTCCCGGACGGATAGTCATGGATGGACTGTGAGAATTCATCCCACCCCTCGAGGAGCTTATAAAATGTACAGGTAAATGACATCCTTTCATTTAGCACATGCTCACGAATCCGGATTGTCAGGTGTTGTGACGACACAGAAGTCATTTCATGTATGTAAGTCTTATTACACGTGGAATACATCACTGAAATAACGAACCTTGAAACTCTTGTCAATATTTTTTACCTGCCTCCTGTGACATGGGACCACCTGGAGGATCTCAGGTGAAGGCAAGTGCCATAAATACCCTTCTCTCTGAGCCAGCTGAGGGTTAATGATCCTCCAAGAGCTTGAGTTCAGGTAAATGTAGATATTCTTTGTGATTCTACCCCAAAATAAAACATTCTGGTTTTTCAAAAGGTCAGTACTGCAGTGCAGAATCTGAAACCCTATCAGTGAACTTTTTGAAACACTGTTACATTAAAATCCATCTGTCTGTCTTGCGCTTGGAATGGTCCTTTTACCCGTGCATGATTTTGTACTATCCTGCATTAGTCATTTGGAAAATATTGGTTCACTGAGTTGGGCAGATTTTCTAAATGTTGACCAGTCCATTATACAATATAACAGTCACATCTATCAAGCTCATAGTGGCAGACATAAGTCTTTCAAAGTTCTAAACTGTCTTCCTTGAAGTGATAAGCTCACTTCAATCATTTTTGAGATAACATCTGGCAAACACCAAAGGCTAAAAACCATAGTTTATCCATGGTATGTCATGAAAAAGGTGGCTTGTTCAATGTGCAACATAAACAGTCTTACACCTACTCCTCTTTGACACAAGCCTAAATGCTATGTGCAGCGTAAGTACGTAATAAGCTTCAAGCATCTTCCCATTTTGTCACACAGATAGTAAAAGGACGTTGTCAAAGGTGGAGATTTAAAAGAATATTTTGCTTCCTCAAGGATATCCTTTTTTAAAAAAAACAAACTTTTTTTTAAAGTTGAGAGAGAGAGAGAGAGAGAGAGAGAGAGAGAGAGAGAGAGTGTGTGTGTGTGTGTGTGTGTGTGTGTGTACCCCCAAGCAGGATCCTTGCTGTCAGCACAGAGCCTGACACAGGGCTCAAATCCACGAACCATGAGACCTTGACCTGAACAGAAACCAAGAGTCAGATGCTCAACTGACTAAGCCACACAGGAATCCCTCAAAGATATTCTTAAGTGGAATTGGCTTTCCTTAACTTGGGAGTGCAAGGCAGTGACTACACTTACTACTGTACCCTATGAGGCCAGCAGTTTTACTCATCATTACTTTTGTACCATCTCTGCAAATGCCAACACAGTGAGAAAGGCAAATGAAGACTGTATATTTTTATTAATGTACTTCTGAAAGGGTCCTGGGGACACCCAAGTGTCCATGGACTACATTCTGAGAATTGCTGTTACAGAGAATAGTAAGGACTCTAAGTCAGGCAGGCTAGAATTCATAACCTAACTGCAGTGTAGTAGCTTGGTGACCTTTTAATCTCTCTAAATCTCAATTGCCCTATTTCTAAATGGGGACTGTAATGTACCTGGCAAGATGATACAGTATTGCTTAGTAGAGGCTTTCTCCCAAAGACAAAGAAGCAGAGACGATAAACATTACAAATCCAAATGGTGCTGTTGGTTTAGCCTCCAAGTTAAGTGAATTAAATCAATGAAATGCAAGGAACCCATTTGGGGGAAAACAAAACAAAACAAAACAAAACAAAACAAAACAAAACAAAACACAAAGCAAAAAGGGTATCACCTCAGAAAACAAGTATAATTAACATGGGGAAAAAGCCTGAAAATAAAACTGGATTAATTTTTATCAAGTACACATGGAACAGGTGTTTTCTCATTGGCCAAATATTGTAAACCAGTGGTTCTTTGCTCCCGGGGAAGAGGGGTGTGTGTAGGTGGGTGGGGGGAACACTTGGTAATGGGTGGAGACATCTGTGACTGTCAAACTGAGGAAATGCTGCTGACAGCTAATGACAAAAGACTGGAGTGCTGGTCCATCCACATGCCATGGGTACACAGGACAATCCCCCACAACAAAGAGTTACCCAGAGTTGACTGTCAATAATGCCTTGCTATACATAAAGCTTTAGGCAACACAGAGAAGAAAACAATCCAACAAGGTCCAGAAACAGATTTTAAAACCTTTGAACTATCTTTAAAGGGAGCAAGTGTCCTACTGAAACAGGCTTAAATATTCTTTGATTCAAAATGAGTCCAAAAAGAGATTCAAAACAGAGCTGACACCAGGGACTACACAGGTCTAGTGATTACTTTGAGTCAGTAATGTATTTGTCCCTCTAGGGCTAGCCTGAAAACGTGGTTTTTACACATTAAAATCACCTGCATTTTTCTTATCTTTTTTCATTAGGCAAAATGTAAATACTCAGCTGCACACACCAGGTGATTATGTTTTCTGACTGCCCATTTATCCCTGCATTAGCTAAAGGATTACTGATTTGTCTGATAATAAGCTATGGAATAGTTTTTAAATCAAACAGAAAAATACTCTGAGGCAAGGCTTTCGTGATATTTCTGTTAAACGGTTCTACCAGAACACATGTTCTTGAAGAAGTCGAAGAAACACCGATTATTCTCTTTGCTTTGCATTTGTTCAGAGAGGTTTCTAACTTGTTTTAACTTTAGGTGCATATTAAGACAGTTCCCCCAAACCGTGCATCATTTATCCTCACTCATCTTAGGGAGAAGGTTAGACAACACAAACTCTAGTAAGACAGGAACATTTTCAGTAAAGGGTAAATGAAGGAGGAAATGCCTTTTTCACATCTCTGAGACACCAAGGGCCTGCCACCTAATGTCTCTGGGCTTAGTTTCTGTCTGTAAAACGAAGGTCTTCCATCAATAGACTCCAAGAACTTGTCCACATTTCCCAAGGTGGCACAGGGGGTATAGGCAGGGAAGAATACATCTGGGCTTCTAAAAGGCTTCTTTGGTCCTGTGTATTTATTTCTATGAAGAGAGAACATGGTCACCTTATCTGAACTTGTTTTGTAAAGTCGGATCTAAAATGTTTCACAGAAGAAATGTATTTCTTTCTCTTTGGAAGGATCAGTCCTCAGTCTGGTCACTGTATTAGCTAGCTTGAGACTTTAGGCTGCAAGTCCTCCGCTCCGTTTGCTCAGGCCTGCATTAGGGGACATGAATTTTAACAAGTACTGATGCTGTGGAGTGAGGATGTGTGTTCCTCACTTCTTGAAAGCACACAAGGATAATTATGGTTTGATACACACAGAGTTAGGAATGCCACATCTTTCAGGAATACAAGAACATGTCTGAGACAATGGTACGCTCACTACCTTCTTCTAATGTATGTCCCACTATATATCTAGGGGTGAAACTGATGGCTGTGGAGCTGTGGTTCTGAGCTCAAATCTCACCTGTAATGTTTTTCCATCTTTTCAAGACTTGATTTTTCACAGACGTTGATCCAGTAGGTATCCTCCATGGCAAGTCCATAGCTGAACGCCATTGTTATTACAATTATTTGTGACCCCATGTAAGCTTGAGTTTAAGCTGGTACCAGCATCTTTGGGAATTGTGTCGGGTTTCAGTAATGTACGTCTAGCTTGCAAGATTAAGTAGACTTTATCAGCTACGGTCTACCTAGGGTTTGTAGTTTAGTTTAGAATTGTGGTAAACTGATGATTTGTATTTGTCTTCATTTTACATTAGTTTTAAGTATTTTTGATTATGGAATCTGGGGTTGCAATGATATACAACGAAAGGGAGCAAATTCCCTGTGCGTGCTTCCAATCAGGATCTGCAAATCCAGATTTTTGTCCAAGTCAGGGTTGCCAAATAGAGGGAAATAGGGAAAAACAGCTGCCTTAAGATTGTGCAACAGTGTATTGTTGGACTAAATTTTCAAATGATCCACAAATTCATACTTATCTCATTCTGTACAATGAACACAATTCCTAAATCCTTACAAAGATGTTTTGTAAAATCACACAAATTCAGAGCAGCTGGGTCCTTATTCAACTTTATATTAGTATAAAGGAAGGAACAAAACACTCAGAACCAACCTCAATTTGATCTATGGCCACACACTTCCTCCCTGACCTCAGCCAAAAGTCAAGGATTGATTCTTCAATTCTCAGGTTCTTTTATTACTGTGAAAACGTCTTGGTTTCTCTGTCATGCCCGTCTACCCGATGAGAGGTTTTTTGGTTTTTTGTTTTTTGGCTATATGCATTTCCCTTGGGTTTTGGTGATGATGCTCTCACTTCACACCCTGGTTTCTAAACATCCACTGAAATAGCTTAGAGGAATAATTCTAAGTATTGAATTAATAGCAAAAAGAATGGGAAACTTATCTTCTGAAGAGGATGGAAGACAGAAGAAGTCTTATCAGGCAGGCAGATGGAAACTTTAAGACGAGAGGTTCTTAGGAGGGGACACAAAACACTCCCATCACAGTAATGACTACAGGGTACACTAGTTAAGTGATATTTTAATTCTACATGCCAAACACCATGGCTAGGAACTTTAATAAATACATGACCTCTAATAATCCTTCCTCCTAGTCCATTTTACGGATGACAGTTAAACCATTTGTCTGCCCATAGTCACATGAGCAAAACCTGGATGTGAATTCAGCATTGCCTTATTCCAAAACCTGTGTTCCTTACCTTCCTAACTGTGCTGCCTGGCAGGGACCTGCAGGGTAATATCCATTCAAGCTTGACAGAATTTTTTAAAACTTGTGTGAGTCATCAAGTAGATCGTCTTGAGGTAGGGTTAAACTTTAAAAATAATTTCTGATTTTCTCTCTTCTATCATTACTATCACAGTAGAATAGAAATTGCCTATAATTAAGACATTCGAGGGGCAGGAGGAGTAGGGGATCCTGGGCTCATGTCCTCCCTTGGACACACCAAAGTGTGCACCTACAAGTGGAACAAGTATCTCAGAGTGAACTAAAGACAAGCAGAAAAGATCATACCCAACTAAGGATGGCAGCCAAAGTGAGATATATAGGAGGTGCAGACACAGTTTAGTCAGGACCTGCATGCTTAGTGGGGAGGCCCACAAGTGGGAGGGATATCACAACCACAGAGGCCTCACTGACGAAGGAGGGGTCTGAGCCCCACACCAGTCTCCACTGCTCAGGCGAATGGCACCAATAATAACAAGCTTTGAAAAGCAATGGGGTTTATAGCCAAGGGAGCCAGAGGACAGTAGGAAATAGAGACTCCACTCTTTTTTTTTTTTTATAAAGTGTTTATCTATTTATTTATTTATTTTGAAAGACAGAGCATGTGTATAGGGGAGGGGACAGAGAGAAAAGGAGAGAGAGAATCCCAAGCAAGCTCTGCAGCATGTAGCCCAATGCAGGGCTCCAACACACAAACCGTTGAGATCATGACCTGAGCTAAAATCAAGAGTTGGACCCTTAACTGACTGAGCCACCCAGGCGCCCCCAGGGACTCCACTCTTAAAGAGCATGTGTGCACTCTCACTTGTGTGGAAGCCCAGTGCAGAGGCAGCAGTTTGAAAAGCACCTGGGTTACATGTGAAGGAAGTACTTTCACTAATGGCTGGGGTGTGTGCTAGAGAGACAGGGATCACTTGGAGCATTCCCCAGGGACAGTGGCCCTGGTGGGCACCATTTTGTTCTTGTCAATTCTACCCAGCTGGACCAGCATTGGTGGGCACCATTTCTAATACTTTCTATCTATCGTGCTAGCACCATAACTAGCACCTATGTTATACCCCAGTGTTTCTGGGGAAACATAGCCCCAGTGTTTCTCTGTGAACTCACTCCATCCAACCAACTTGGAGCCCTTCCCAGGAGGCTTACCACCCCACGTCTCCAGCAGGTACTACAGCTCTTCCCAAGCATCCTGCCCTGGGGTGCCAGCCCAGCAAACTAAAATACTTACAACAGGTGTAGCCAGCTGTGCAGGAGGCCTGCCCTGCCTACCAGCCTGGCCATACTGCTGCCATCGGGCATTGCAGTCAGCTCCTGCAGCCAGCCCCACACACATCAGCAAGTCCATATGGATTGGGACTGACCACAACAGGAGGTATACACAGCCCACCCAGGCATCAGTCCTTGGGCACCTGGGTCAGGTGACCAGAGCATGTTAGGCTCCTGGGCCCCACAGGACACCTTCTGCATAAAGCCACTCCTTCAAGACTAATAGATGTAACTGATCTAGTACCACATAGAGAGGTAGGCAAAATGAGGACACAGAGGAGTATGTTGCAATTGAAAGAACAAGATAGAAACTCAGAAAAAAAAACTTAAATGAAACAGAGATAAGCAACCTACCAAATAAGGAATTCCGAGTAATGCTTATGAAGATATTAACTAAAGAGATGAATGGATAAACACAGAACTTCAACAAAGAAACAGAAAACATAAAAAAGAACCATTCAGAGCCGAAGAATAACTGAAATGAAAAATATACTAGAAGGAATCAGCAGCGTATAGGATAATGCACAAGAAGGGATCACTGATCCTAGAAAGATTAGTGGAAATCACCCAACAGAAACAGCACAGAAAGAAATTTAAAAAGCAGGAAAGTTTAAGACTATCCTCTAGGATGACATCAAACATACTAACATTTGCATTGTAGGGACCTAGGAGAAGAGAGAAACAGACAAAACCTATCTGAGGAAATAATGGCTGAAAACCTCCCTAACCTGGTGAAAGAAACCTGTATCTAAGTCCGGAAACTGACAATCCCAAATGAGGTGGACCCAAGAGACCCATATCATGACACTTTACAGAGAATCTTCAAAGTGGTGAGAGAAAACTTGTTATATACAAGGGAACCCATGTAAGACTATCTGCAGATTTTTCAGCATAAACTTTACAGGCCAGAAGGGAGTGGTATTAAAATATTCAAAATACTAAAAGGAAAAAAATATACAACTGAGAATATTGTACCTGGCAAGATTATCATTCCAAATTGAAGATGAAATAAGGAGTTTTCCAGAAAAGCAAAAGCTAAAGACGTTCATCAACACCAAACTGGCGTTCCAATAAATGTTAAAGGGACTTCCTTAAGTGGAAAAGAAAAGGCGGTAATTAGGAATAAGGAAATTATGGGGGAAAAAAAAAAACCCTCTCACTGGTAAAAGTAAACATATAGTAAGGGGAGTGGATCAGCCACTTCCATAGCTAGTATGAAGGTTAAAAGACAAGAAGAGTAAAATCATCTAGACCTACAGTACTTAGTCTGACAGTGCAAACATAAAAGAGATAAAAAAGGTAGTGTTTTAGAACATGCTTGAACTTAAGTGACCATCAACCTAAGAGAGACTGCTGTATACAGAAGATATTATATATGAACTTCCTGGTAACCACAGACCAAATACCTACCATAGGTACACAAAAAATAAAGAGACAGGAAATCAAACATAACACTAGGGGAAGTCACCAAATCACAGGGAAAAGAACAAGAGCAGAAGAAAAGAGCAGGGAACTATCAAAACAACTGGAAACAATGAACGAAGTGGCAATACATACTTACTTATCAATAACTATCTTTTTTAATGTTTATTTCTGAGAGAGAGAGAGAGAGAGAGAGAGCAAGCGTGCCTGAGTGCCCCATGCGGGGCTCCAACTCACAAACTGTGAGACACGACCTGAACTCAAGTCGGATGCTCAATTGACTGAGCCACCCAGGTACCCCTATTAATAACTATGTTAAATAGACTTAATGCTCCGATCAAAAGACACAAAGTAGCTGAATGGATTAAAACAAAAAACAAAAAACAAAAAAGACCCATCTGTGTGAGTCCATGGAAATGGAAAGAAAGTCAGGGAGCAATACTTAAGTCAGACAAAATAGACTTTGAAACAAAGAGTGTAAAAAAAGGACATTACATAATGATAAAGGGATCTATCCAACAAACAGGTATAACACTTGTAAGTATCTGTGCACCCAACCGAAGGTCAGTCACCTAAAGAAACAAAGCAATTACTAACAGACACAAAGGGAGAAGTTGACAATAATCCACTAATAGTAAGGGAGTTTAACACCTTACTTACATCAATAAATAGATCACCCAGACAGAAAATCAGTAAGGAAACACTGGCCTTAAATGACACATTAGACCAGATGGACTTAACAGACAGATACAGAACGCTCCATCCAACACCAGAAGAATATGTATTCTTTTCAATTTCACATGGAATATTCTCTAGGATAGATCACCTGTTAGGCTACAAAACAAGACGCAATAAATTTTAAAAGACTGAATCATAAAAAGCGTCTTTTCACAATGGTAGGAAACTAGAAATCAATTATAAGAAGAAAAGTGCAAAAAAACCCACAAACCCATGGAGGCTGAACAACATGGTACTCAACAACCAATGAATCAAAGAAAAAAATCAAAGAAAAAATAAAAAACATCTTGAGACAAATGAAAATGGAAATACAGCAGTCCAAAATCTATGGTCACAACAAAAGCAGATCTAAAATGTATATAGCAATACAGGACTACTTCAAGAAAAATTTCAAATAAACAATCTCACTTTACGCATGAAGGAAATAAAATCAAAAGAACAAATGAAGCCCTAAGTTAGTAGAAGAAAGAAAATATATTAAAGATCAGAGTGGATATAAATGAAATAGGGACAAAAAAGCAATAGAAAGAACAATGTGGGGTGCCTGGGTGGCTCAGGTGGTTAAGTCTCCAACTGTTGATCTTAGCTCAGGTCTTGATCTCAGGTCATGAGTTCAAGCCCCGCATTGGGCTCTACACTGGACATGCAGCCTATTTGATGACTTTTAGCCAGCATTATCAACATCAAAAAAAAAAAAAAAAAAAAAAAAGAGTGGAGGGCCCAAATAAAATCAGAAATGAAAGACGGTATGTTACAACCAATACCATAAAAATACAAGGGATCATATAATAAGAGTTCTACAAACAATCATATGCTAACAAACGGGATAGCCTAGAAATGTTAAGTCCTTAGAAACAATCTTCTAAGACTCAGTTAAGAAGAAATAGAAAACTTGAACAGATCAACCAATGGTAACAAAATTGTTGGGAGGTTTTGATTATTGGTTCAAACAGAAGTCCAGAACAAGACAGCTACACAGGTGAATTCTACCAAATATTTACAGAAGAGGTAATACCTATTCTCAAACTCCTACAGAATACTGAAGAGGAAGAAATGCTTCCAAACTCATTCTATGAGGCAAGCATTATGCTGATCCCAAAACCAGAGATACTACAAAAAAGGAAAATTGGAGGCCAGTATTCCAGATGAACTTTGATTCAAAATCACCAACAAAATATTAGCAAACCTAACTCAATAATACATTAAAAGGATCGTACACCATGACCAAGTGGGAATTACTCCAGGGATGCAAGGATGGTTTCAGTGTCTGCAAATCAATGTGATACACCACATTAACAACAACAACAGGATAAAAATCATATAATCATCTCAGTTGATGCAGAATAACTGTTTGATAAAATTCAACATCCACTTATAATAAAAATTCTCAAAAAAGTAAGTATAGAATAAAGATGCCTCAACATAAAAGGCCATACATGATAAACCCACACCTAGCATCATACTCAACAGTGAAAAGCTTAAAGCTTTCCTATAAGATCAGGAACAAGATAAGGATACCCAGTGTTACTACTTTTATTCAACGCAGTAATGGAAATCCTAGAGACAGCAATTAGACGAGAAAAGAGAATTAAAGGCAAGCAAATTGGAAAAGAAGTAAAACTGTAAAACTATCTGCAGACAACATGAAACTACATATAGAAAACCCTAAAGGCTCCACCGAAAAGCTAATCAGAGCTTATAATAAGTGAATTCAATAAAGTTGCAGGATAGAGAATTAATATACATAAATCTGTTGCATTTCTATATACTTCTTAAACAAGAAAATAATCCCATTGACAATTGTATCAAAATGAATAAATTACCTAGGAATAAATTTAATCAAGGAGGGGAAAGGCCTATATGTTGAAAACTGTAAGACACTGATTATGGAAATTGAATATGTCATGACATAAATTGGAAGATATATGGCGCTTATATCCTGGAAGAATTAATATTTAGTTAAAATGCCCATACTACCCAAAACAATGCAATGCAATCCCTATCAAAATATCAATAGCATTTTTCATAGAACTAGTACCACCTAATCCTAAAATTTGTATGGAACCACAAAAGACCCCAAGTAACTAAAGCAACTTTGAGAAAGACCAAAGCTGGAGGTATCTTGCTGCCTGATTTCAAAGTATACTACAAAGCTGTTGTAATCAAAACAGTATGGTTCTGGCACAAAAACAGACACACAGATTAATGGAATACAAAAGAGAGCTCAGAAATAAACCCGATGCTTATACTGTCAATTAATTTATGACAAGGGAGGCAAGGGACAAAAGATAATCTGTTCAGTAAATGGTATTAGGAAAACTGAACGGCAGGCGAAACCATGAAAGCAGACCACTTTCTTACATTATACCCCAAAATAAACTCAAAATGGATTAAAGACTTAAACGTAAAAACAGAAACCATGAAATTCATAGAAGAAAACATAAGCAGTAAGCTCTTGGGCATCAGTCTGAGCAACATTTCTTTGGATTTGTCTCCTCAGGCACATGGAACTGAAGCAAATAGAAACAAATGGTACTATGTGAAACAAATCCTTAGGCACAGTGAAGGCAACACAAAGACAAAAGTAAACAAAACAAAGACAGCCTACTGTATGGGAGAAGGTATTTGTAAATGATACACCTGATAATGGGTTAATATCCAAAATATATAAAGAACTGACACAACTCCGTATGAAAAACCAAACAATCCAATTTAAAATGGATTCAGAGGACATGAATAGGCATTCTTCCAAAGAAAACATACACATAGCCAACAGACACATAAAAAGATGCTCAACATCACTCACAGTTAGGGAAACAAGCCAAAACCACAATCAGATATTGCCTTACACCTATCAGTTTGGCTATTAAAAAAGACAAGAAATAAGTGTTGGCAAGGATGTAGAGAAAGGACAACCCTGGGACTCAGCTGTCGGGCATGCAAGATGGTGCAGCTACTGTGGAAAACAGTATGGAGGTTCCTCAGAAAGTTAAAACCAGAGTGACCACATGATCCAGCAATTTCACTTCTGAGTATTTATCTAGAAAAAAAAATGAAAATGCTATTTCAAAAAGATATAGACACCCATGTTCACTGCAACATTATTCACCATAGCCAAGATACGGGAGCAAACTAAGTGTGCAATGATAGATGAATGAATAAAGAGGCTGTGGTGTATGTATATATGATGGAATATTACTCAGCTATAAAAAGAATGGAATCTTGCAATTTCCAACAACATGGATGAAACTGCTGATTACTATGCTAAGTGAAACAAGTCAAGGAAAAGACAAACACTATATGGTCTCATTTATATGCAGAATCTAAAAACCAGAATGAACAAACAAGACAGAAACAGATTCATACAGAGAATAATCTGATGGTTGCCAGAGGGGCGGAAGGTAGGCACATGGGCAAAATAGGGGAAGGGGATTAGGAGACACAAAATTCAAGTTATAAATAAGATAGGGGGATGCAATGTACGGCATAGAGAATATACTTAATAATATTGTAACAACTCTGTGTGGTGACAGATGGCAGTTAGATATATCTTGGTGATCAGTTCAAAATGTATATAAACATTAAATCACTATGTTGTATATTTGAAACTGACATAATATTGTGTTCTAACTATAATTCAATTTTTAAACTATGTTTATTCATTTATTTTTGAGAGAGAGAGCCACAGCACGAGCAGGGAGGGGCAGGAGACACAGAATCTGAAGCAGGCTCCAGATTCTGTGCTGACAGCTCAGAATTCATGAACTGTGAGATCATGACTTGAGCTGAAGACGGACACTTAACCGACTAAGCCACCCAGGTGCCCCTATAATTCAATTAAAACATTTTTTTTAATGTTTATTTCTGAGAGAGAGAGAGACAAAACATGAGTGTGGGAGGCGCAGAGAGAAAGGGAGACACAGAATCCAAAGAGGCTCCAGGCTCTGAGCTGTCAGCACTGAGCCCGACGCAGGGCTTGATTCGAACTCACAAAGTGTGAGGTCATGACCTGAGCCGGATTAGGAGGCTCAACCGACTGAGCCACCCAAACGCCCCTATAATTCAATTTTTAAATTTCTAAATAATTCCACATTACCTCCACTTTTTTAGATTCTAGTTGCATTAATTTAAATCTCCAATTAGCATATTCACATTCCAAATTGTTAAGATACTGTAACAGTAACCATTAAAGACTAAATTACCTGGCAAAATATTAAAAAATATGAAAATAGAAACAGAAGTGTTTTATATATTTGCAACCATGTATGAAAAATATGAAAATGATATGGGGCGCTTGGGTGGCTCAGTCGGTTGAGCCTCCCAATTCGGCTCAGGTCATGATCTCACAGTTTCTGAGTTTGAGCCCCATGTCGGGCTCTGTGCTAACAGCTCAGAGCCTGGAGCCTGGTTCGGATTCTGTGTCTCCCTCTCTGTGTGCCCTACCCCCCGCTCACACTCTCTCTCTCTCTCTCTCTCCTTCAAAAATAAACATTAAAAAAATTTTAGAAAATGATAGAAATAGGAATGTTTTGCATATTTATAATACCATTCTTGCCCTCGGAGGAGTTTTGAAAACATTATGTTTTAACTTAAATATAGGAGACCTTAGACTGAGATATATTTCATTTTGTCCCAGGACACTGCTCCATCAAAGTATCCTGTTGGAGATACATGATGTCATAAATAGTAATTATCGTAGTTTTTGGCAAATGAGTAAGAGTTGCTTTTAGTAAAATGAACTTGTTATTACACTGCCTTAACTAGAAAGGTGCTATCTAGTCACACTACCACTTTTATAGATGGAAGGTTTATATCTATTGGCTAGGAGAAATTATGGGTGTAAATTAAATTGTCAACCAATGTTTAAAAGACAAAACCAAAAAAACTGTAATTATTCAATTTAAGAGCACTAAAATATTGTAATTATATATTTAATTCAAGTTATATAATAACAGCTACTACTTATTTAGTACTTTTTAGGTGCTAGGCACTTTTGATATACATGGTTTATAATCTTCATCACTATCCTGAAAGATCTCGCTAATCCCATTTTATAGATGCAGAAATTAAGATTCACAAATGTAGAGAATTAGTCCCAGGGCCCTATAAAATACTAATGAAAGGGAAAGTCTAAGTTTTCAGGATTCCAAGTCTACTACTTTTTTTAGCGCATACCAGTAATAACTTTTGGGCTAACTATATGGTAGATTAAATTAGAGCATTAACATGTTGGAGCCCCTGTTTCATAGAAACTAATGTCCAGTGAGGCCCAAAATAACAGTTATCCTAGATCTAGGATTAGTACTTTGCACCAATAGCCATTTATTATCTATGTATCTTGCGTTCTCCACATACAGATAACAAGACTGACTACATTTTTTAAAATACATGTGAATTGTTTAAATTCTGTACTTTCCTTACATCGAGAAAACCCCTTTGTATATTATACAATTACATGAGTCAAAACAAACTAAACGAAAAACATACTGGGGTAGTGCACATCGTGTATAGGTACACCAATTTAAACATATTTGTAAGACATGTATTTTCTCAACAAAATTTTATAAAAACAGTGAGGAGCAACATAAGCTATCACGTAGTTCCACTTTTGCTAATGTTAGCAATAAAAAAACCAGCAAGCTTTGGTTTTCCACAGTCCAACTAAGTGTAGATTACTGTAGTTTATTCTAGAATATTCATTAGAAAAATAAGTTCTGTTTCTTTTAAAATGGTATCTTCTAACATTTTAGAAGCTATATAGGAATGGAAAAGAAACTTTGAAAGCAAGTGATGACATGATGTTTGTTGTAAAGTCTTGGGGATATTTGGAATGTAAAAATTTCAAGGGCACAAGCAGCACTTTTTGGAGGATGGATAAATGGTAACTACTGCAGTGGGAAATTTGCACTCTGGAAGCTTTGAAACTGATAAGCATTTATGATCAAATAATACTAGTTCTATTTATAAAATAATTTGCAGATTGAAAAACAACACCAATACTGTATTCTCTCAAATTTCTCTTAAATGCTCTGTCAAAGTTTGTATTTTCACAGAAGTGTTAAATCGTTATTTTAACGAAACCAAATCCCTTGCTTCCAAGAACTCGAATGTGAATAGTCAGCCATTAAGAAAGCACCTTAAAGTTGAGTTCTTATGTAAGCAGTCGGTTGTGTATGCAGGAAACAGAACCTGCTGAATACCACGCAGATTTGACATTCCCGTCAAAGGACAGCTCCAAAGTCTAAGAGAAACGCAACTTCTGAAACTAAAGTCCTCAGTTTAAAGTATCTAAGTAGTTTTCAGACTTGTTAACTTCAATGAAATCATCACTTCAAACAGCTTCACAATTCAACCAACAGGGAAATGGCCAGGTTTTGAGGAAGGCAGGGGAGAAAGCGAACCCATACAAACAATGACTTTGACAAAATTTTCACACAGTTTAAAGCAAAACACACAAAAAAATCTATCTGCCAAAAACATCAATCACAAAATTGATAAAGTCATTAATTTATAGCATAAATATCTGACAATTCTGAACTGAGGGTTCCATTGTTGATAAAGGATTGTGGAATCCTGAAAGCTGACATGTTGTAGAGCAGTAAACAACACGTCACAATGTGGACCGTTGACTGTTGGTTAAGTAGATAATCAATGCGTGAGCTGAGCTGAATCAGGCTTATTTTAAGACTATTTGGACACCCTGAGTGTTCATTTTGGTTTCTGTACTTTGTCTAAAAGCCACAGAGTGAACTTTAACACCCGAGCCATAAGAAGTAAAAGTACTGAGAGCAAGATGTTATAGCCAATCTCTTGAAATTAAATGGAGGTGGTTGGCAAAAGTATGCCTAGTTAGCTGGAATAAGAAATCGGCACCTCTCTCAAAAAAGGGGAC